TTTTTCCTTTCAGTTTTTGTTTCAAAATGTTTACTTTTAGTTTTTAGTGTTATTAATGTTAGTTTTAGTCTTTTTAATTAATAATATAATGAGGGCGTACGTGAAACGTATGATTTAGGAAAATCAGTCCAGAAAATATAAAACTATACAACCTTTTGAAAGCGGCAACTCACAGTCCTGAGGACAAACAGTGTTAACATTAATCAAAGTCTAAAACTTCTTCTCTATCTGTAGTTTAGTTTCTACGTTCGTGAAATCCTTTCAGGTAGTTTGTTTAGTTAAAAATGTTTTTTCACATCTAGTTTTGATCTTTAGTTAAGTTCGAGTTAACTATAATAACCCTGCTTTAATATGACCGCTCTTAAACATCACGCAGGCTGAAAGTAAAACGTTTGCAGAAAAACAAACAGGTCATGTTTCTTTATAAAAATCTAAAGATTTCAAACAAAGCCTGTGAGACTCTGAGGGACCAAAGCCTCTGACTGTCTGTCTCCTTCTGTGTCGCAGCCCTGATGACTTCGAGGCGCTCGGAGGTTTGGCCATGAACCCCATCGGAGGCAGAATCATGGAAGCCTTTTTCTCCTCGGGGTACGACAGCCTGCTGTTATCAGAGGAATCTTGTTTCTGCAATGACAGAGCAAAGACGGTCACATCAACTCATTTGAGTTGCAGAGGTCTAGACTCTACTGATTGACAGGCACGGGTCAGGTGACACTGTGAAGGGTAAACAGGAAGTATTTCTCTCCAGACAGGATACCGTGGACTTTTCCTCCTTTGTCCGGATTCTGGCTCATTTCCGTCCAACTGACAGAAACCGAAACAAAGAAGGAGCACAGCAGGAGCTCCCCAGCAGCAGGACCAGGAAGCTCAAATGTGAGTCCAGCTCACTTTGTTCTGTCTTTTATTTTATCTTTGCGTCCAATAAAGAAAATAATGTAGAAGCTGCTCAGTTGCCTTTCAGCTGTACGATATGGACCGAGATGGGAAGATTTCCAGAGAGGAGCTTCTTCAGGTCTGTATCCACTTTGTTGTTGCACTTTGAGAGTTTTCATTTCTTCTCCTCATCGCTGACAAGTTCATAGTTCATTCCCATGCACAGAGAGTCTTTGGTGTGTGGGGGTCACACCTGCAACCAGGACGCAGGAGCTCATACTCATGTTTGGCTAAGATCAGGGGTTTTTGCATGGCTGCAGAATGGAGGGAAGTGAGAGAAGCATTTTTACTTAGCTGAAAGAAAACACTACCGAGCCCCTCCTACAGTATAAAGCTAGCCCATTGGGGTGGTTATTATTTTAGAAAACTTGTTTAAAAAAGAAGAAGTAGCAGGTACTTTGACTGATCCCTTATTTCCAAAGTTTTTCCCACAGCAGATGGAGCCACGTGTGGCTTTGGGACTAGAGGAAACAGTTGCTTGGCCCTGCTCCTGTACTTGAGCTGGTTTTCTTTTGTATGTGAGGTGAATGCGTTAACCATTACACCATGGTTTAAATACAAATGGAAAAATTTGTGGTGTTTTTGTGCTCAGTGAACATTTTTGCCCTCAAAGAAATCTGTGGTGTTAAGCTAGTTTTAGTTTTCTAGAATCAGAAAAATAATCGTGTGTCATCTAGGGATGCACCGATACCGATACTGTAAAATGTGTGTGTACTCATACTCGTAAAAGTTAACCGATACCATGAACCGATACCAACTTATTT